TGACCTAATAGTAGTAGTCTTCAATTTATTAATAATTTAGTCACAGACCAAAAACTTTTCAAAAACTTTTAATTATTTACCAACTCGGGCACTAATATGCGATGTTTGTATGTCACAATTTCGTACGTCGCCGAATAAAAAATTTACAAAAACATAAAAAATTAAATTTTATTCGTTATAGTACGAGTGTTATAAAGTTTTTATGCGGAATTGTTTCAAAGTAATAATCGCAGGTTCATTCATCTAATAGTATTCTTCAATTTATATTTAATTCACAGACAAAGAAATTTCCAAAAAATAAATATTATAATTAATTACGCGCCAATTCTGGGAATGATATGCGACGTAGTCTTAAATTTATATTTAATTCACAGACAAAGAACATTCCAAAAAATAATTTTTATAATTAATTATGCACCAATTCTGCAAATGATATGCGAGTAGTCTTAAATTTACATTTATTTCACAGACAGAACTTTTAAAAAAATAAATATTATAATTAATTATGCACCAATTCTGCGAATGATATGCGACGTAGTCTTAAATTTATATTTAATTTACAGACAAAGAACTTTCAAAAAAATAAATAAATATTATAATTAATTATGCAACAATTCTGCGAATGATATGCGACGTAGTCTTAAATTTATATTTAATTCACAGACAAAGAACTTTCCAGAAAATAAATATTATAATTAATTATGTACCAATTCTGCGAATAATATGCGACGTATGTATGTCGCAATTTTACACGACTCAACTACTTTACATCGAAAAAACTTTTATAATATAAATTAGGCACCAATTAGGCGAATGATATGCGACGTATGCATGTCGCACTTTTACATCGACTCAACTACTTTACATCAACTCAACTATTACTTTACCCCGTGCTATGTTCAGTAACAAGTTTCAGTGACCATAACCGAGCCAGAAGTTCTAGATTGTCTGGTATGCTTTGAACCTTTAAGCCCTCCGGTATATGAAGTACTACTTAAACCCCAGTATTACGTTCACCGTTTCCTCCTATGGCAGTCTGACTCTCGAACCAATTGGGCTGAGGAGTCTGTTGCAGAGAAGGTACGAGATCTTCTCGCCATTGTTTGTTAGAAGGGATAGGTCTGTGAGTCGAACGAATTTAATTGCCATCCCTTGTTTGAATTTGAATCTACGTTTTCACATCTGTCTTTGCCAGTGAATTTTTTACACCAGTTGAAGAAAATGGAAAACGGGATTTATATCAATGGTCTGACTTCCGATAAAAAAAAGTAGTATACCCCGGAAGAACAAGAACCTTTGTCTTTGAAGGCGTGCTCCCTCTCGCCGTCGTAGGCGCCTAAATCTAGTAAACCCCGGAAGACCAAGCAATTCGCCGGAGATTCCACGTCTTCCCAAACACATGGTCTCTAACAGCTTTTTCATCAGTTTCCAATGTGTTTAGCTTTCAATGAGAGGTGACCATGTGCCTGGGCAGACGTGGGATCTCCCGGGCCAGTGCTTGGACTTCCGAGGTATACTAGATTGAGGAGGCTACGACGGTGAAAGAGAGCATGCCCTCAAAGACAACAGGAGGATCAAGACCCATCTCTCAATTCTTCAACCTTCGATTTTCTTCAATATGCCGTCAATGAAGACTACACTGACCGACATGTTGAGAAAAATCGAGAGTTATAGAATTGGGAGATGGGTCCTGATCCTAATTCAATTGTCTCATCTCTGTTGCCTTTTATAGAGGACTGAAGAAGATATCTATCCTCTTTGATACGCGCACCGTTATTAATTTGCCGAAGACTGAGGGGACGTTTCGGAGAAGAGGCGACTCTTCAAATTCGCAGAACTGCGAACAAAATGCGATGAATCGCAATTCATTCGCATAACTATATGACAATAAATGATTTCGCATATATCTGGTTAAAGAAGGTAACTATCCTTCTTGATAAGCGCGCCGTTATTAGTTTTCCAAAGATTTGAGGGGACGTTTCAGAGTGACTCTTCAAATTCGCAGCACTGCGAACAAACTGCGATGAATCGCACTTCATTCGCATAACGTATTTACAATAAATGATTTCGCATATCTGGTTAAAGAAGATATCTATCCTCCTTGATACGAGCGTCGTTATTAATTTGACAAAGACTTGAGGGGACATTTCGGAGCGACTCTTCAAATTCGCAGCACTGCGAACAAAATGCGATGAATCGCACTTCATTCGCATAACGTATTTACAATAAATGATTTCGCATATCTAGTTAAAGAAGATATCTATCCTCCTTGATACGCGCACCGTTATTAATTTGCCAAAGCCTGAGGGGACGTTTCGGTGCGACTTTTCAAAATCACATTTCAGTCGCATAACGTTTTGACAGTAAATTGCATTCTGTTTCGCATATCTGTTTAAAAACATATACTACGTAAAATAAAAAATTTGGTTTTAATGCGCCGAAGACTGTCATTTAATTGAGAGTGTAAAAGACGCAACCTGCCAACCTTTATTCGCAGCACGACGATCAATGTGCGATATATCGCATATCATTCACATACCTGAAATTATGGAGGGAAAAAATCCCGCCCAATGAATTACTAATAGAAGATAAAATGTTTGGAAGTGAGTTAACTTAAGGTATATAGATAAATATGGTTTATTGTGAAATTGATTGACAATAGAAGAAAGTCACTTATTAAAAAAAAATATAATAATGTTCAAGCTCAATCTTAGATAAAATGTTTGAAAGTGAGTTAAGTTAAGGTATATATATGGTTTATTACGAAATTGATTGACAATAGAAGAAAGCCACTTATTAAAAAAAATATAATAATGTTCAAGCTCAATCTTAGATAAAATGTTTGAAAGTGAGTTAAGTTAAAGTATATAGATAAATATGGTTTATTGTGAAATTGATTGACAATAGAAGAAAGCCACTTATTAAAAAAGATATAATAATATTCAAGCTCAATCTTAGATAAAATGTTTGAAAGTGAGTTAAGTTAAAGTATATAGAAAATATGGTTTATTTGAAATTGATTGACAATAGAAGAAAGCCACTTATTAAAAAAAATATAATAATGTTCAAGATCAATCTTAGATAAAATGTTTGAAAGTGAGTTAAGTTAAGGTATATAGATA